CTCCATTCACACACAGAAGAAGGCAATGGCAAACCACTTCTGGATCATCTGCCAAGAACGTATATGAACAGGTCCCAGTCCGAGAAAAGGATCGAAGGATCCTGTTCATATGGACCTGTCGTCAAACAGAATACTACTAAAAATAATAATAATAATATATCGCTGAAATTCAAAGATCTTTATGAAATTAGTGATCACAATTTATATTCCGGTTATCAACTCCTCCTGCCTTCTGCCTTTCATCTTTTCGGAGACCGAAAACTGCGTCAATAACTCGACAATTAGATGGCTGACTTTCACGGACGATGGGTCGTGTGGTCTCCTGTGCACTGACCGACGTTTCAGAGGTGATTACTGCCTCCGTTATCAGGGCGATGCACCTTTAATGGAGGCTGCAGGCATTAAACACCTCTGAGACGTCAGAAAACTACCGGATTATACGGCCCAACGTCTCAGAAGACAGTCATATTCATGTTTGCCGTCTTGAGAACATGAAATATTACCGACACGTGACCGACCTTTATATGACAGAAATATATCACACCCACGCGAAAAAAAGCTACCTCCAAATGACTTCACACTAGCTTGAACGCACTTTTGAAATAATAAAAATAAAATTTAAACCCAACGTCAATGTTAAGTTCCATTTCACATCGCTGCGGAGACTCCATACGATTAATTACAAGCTGTGCCGACCTCTGGTGGCACTGTGTCCTTGGCGTTAAGTCTGTGGCCTGGGGATCCCTGACGTATTTTGAGGTTAGCTGCTCCTGTTGATACTGTTGTCATGGCAACAGACGCAGAAGGAAGGAAAGGCATCTCAGAGTGAAGGAAATAAACAGTCTACCAACATTACAGCACGTCGACGTCTGGTCGGGAAGCTGTCAGAACATTTATAACACATTCGCGCCACGAGCCTAAGATAATTTAAATGGGAATCACACAAACCAGTAATCTTTAATAATAATTACTCAGGTCTTACATTTATACAGCGCCTAATGCATAAACTGAAACATTAATAAGGAAAAAACCATAATGAATATTTTACTAATTAAGTCGATTTGTCACGTGACTAGACCTTCCTTTCACACTCCTTGTAACTGGAAACAACGAGTAAAGTCCTTAATTAACAGGAGATAACACATTCAGTAAAGAAATAAAGTGACCTTTATAAAACAAAATTTCCCATTGGAGCTTACGCAAGAGAACTTTATCATACCTTCAGTGTGCCCAACGTGTACGCGTGAGTTACTTTTGCTAAAGTACAATCCGTTTACTCAATCTGTATGTTGCTTAACGACATTTTAAAATACCAATCATGACATCCAGTTACCGGGACCTAGCTTTATTTAAAGACGGGACGTCCCGAATATGAAGCTCTGACGTCAGAGAACAGCGATGTAATGAAATAAGAAAGTTAAGGAAGGAGAGGAAGAAAGAAAGAAGGGACTAAATGCAAAAAGAAATGTGAAAGAACGTGGACTGCAAACTTCGAGACTCGAAAATCGAAAATCGCATCGATACCTCGTCTATTTATATCAAATTTCAAAAAGGACGTCTCGCGTGGTTGTCTGCCTGAACAAGCAGGAAGCACGCAGGTATCCGACAGAGCAACTTCCCTTCCACAACACAGAGATTAATGGTCGAATCTGTGTTTTAAGCTGTCACAATCACGTGTATCCCCCGAGCCAACCAGTCAGCCAGAGCTTGTCAGCGTCCCCGACAGGTGGCAGCAGTCGTGTCACTCGCCTTGTGACGTCACATATCAATCACGCCACGCCCCAGAGCTAGTTGCACGGTGTGAAGAAAAACGTGAACTTCGTCGTACCTGGAAGCGAGCCTTAGTTCACATGATCAGCAGCGGTTGCGTCAGAAAGCCTACTTCACAGCAAGCCGACGTTTCCCATAAAAAATTATGGGTACAACGTACTAGAAATTGATGAAAACAGAGCGTAGCTTCAAATCAAGAACCATCAATTTTTCGGTATAAAATTGCCTGCATCGAGACTTTTAATGTTTTGGGAATATACGAGGTGCGATCGGAACGTTTCCAGACTGTGTCAATAGAGGGTGAACCGGATGTAGTACGAGCTTCTGCCGCTAGGGGGTGCGGCCTACATTCATAGTGAATCAGTGTGCCAGCCGGCATCATCGAATTAGCATTTGTTTCTTAGTTACGGGCGTTTTGGTAGTGCATTACACCGACCCTCCTGCGATTTCGGAATGGCGTGTGCATCAAATGTTGCCAAAG